CAAGATTCGCCAGGAATATATATGGAAGGGTATGGACCGAGATATCGCTAACAGGGTTAGGAACTGCAATCTTTGCTCTCTTAGTAAGCCTGCGCAGAATACCAGACTAGGCCTACTAGCTTCGGAAGTTGCTGAAAGACCCATGGAAAAGATATTTATCGACTATGTTGGACCTTTTCCTCGTAGCAAGACTGGAAATACTACTCTTCTTGTAGCAGTCGATGCATTTACGAAATTTGTGTGGTTATTCCCCATGAGGAAAGCTACAGCCCGACTCACCATAGAAATTCTACAAACTCGTTTGTTTCAACATTTTGGTAATCCTATGAAATTGGTTTCCGACAACGGACCTCAGTTCAGGTCCCATTTATTCAAGAGGATGTGTTTCGGTCAGGGAATACACCATTTTACCACTTCTCCCTATTACCCCCAGCCCTCTCATGCAGAAAGATTTAACAGAAATTTGAAGTCAGCGCTCATTGCGTATCACGCAGAACAGCAAGACACCTGGGATCAGAACCTACGATGGCTACAACTAGCTTTCAACACTGCTCTCCATGAAGGCCATAAGGCGGTACCTTTCGAACTCATGTTTGGATTCAAACCAAATAACCCTTTGTCAAATGTTTGGAAAATCACTGATTTGTTACCCTCCATACCAACCCCGGATGTCAAAAACCTGTGGTCAGCCGCTAGACGGAATTTAAAGCGAGCCCACGAGAGACAGCGGGATCGATATAATCAAGGAAGAAAAGAGAACCCTTTCAAGATTGGACAACTTGTTTTTTGCTTAGCCCATCCCCTTAGTTCAGCAGTGGAGAAACGTGCTGGAAAACTGTGCTATAGGTGGACTGGACCTCTAAGAATTTCTAAATTTTTGTCACCTGTTACTGCTATGCTGGTCGACCCCACTACCGAAGAGAAGTTTAGGAAGGCTCATATTTCACATTTAAAGCCCTACACCGGGGATGCGATGTTTGATTCAGGAAGTGAAAGTAAATAAGAATAGTGTGTCTTAGGACTGATCACCCTCAAGACTAAGTTCTCTCTGAAGTTTTCTACATCTCTCTCTATTCTATACAAACATCTATCAGCGCTGATAACCCCAGTTCACCTATTCTGGAAAACATTATGAAACTTCAGTTATCACTTGTTACCTGTTTGAAAATTTTGAGCCTGATGTCTCCTTTGGGGTGGGAGGTTGAGCCGTGTCAGTCGGCTCAGTTTGAGAAAGGAGAGTATTTCTTATAGTACATATTGCGGCAGAAGCACTGTACGCCGACGCTCGCCAAAGGCCGTGGGCGAGTCCACTTTGTCTTTACTCCCCTTCTTCTCCGATCTGCTTGGAGACGTTCTCTCTCTTTGAAATCGTCCACCAAGATTGACGTTCCAAATTTTACCGGCACTATGGAGACTCAAGAAAGAAGATTTTCCAAGTTCATTTTGTTCGACCTTCATAAAATGCAATTTTAAATTTGTTTTTGACACCAAGCCAGGTATGTCAAATCATTGTATTAGATTAATTGTCCGTTTTTTCATTTTTAAACTTAGCCATTTTTCCCTCAAACATTTTGTCTGTTCTTGAAAGCGTTCACAAGAGATTTGTCCTTTTCTCTATATTTGTGTAAAATGATGTTTATAAGGTCTTTTAAAGTTGTTTAAATTGTTTAACTTGTTTTGTCAAATGTTTAAAATTGTAGTTGTCAATAAAATTTTGTGCTTAAAGTTAGTTTTTGTCTGGTCACAGACAGGAAAATTTCATGTTGGTGTTCAGGACACACGTGTTCGACTTTGGTAAATTTGTTGTTTTTAATTATTTGTGTTGTTCTGAGTCGTCATTTGTTTGTGTTTACAGGTTTTCCAAACTAAAGTAAAGTGAAAGAGTTAGTTTTTCCTTTTAACAAAATCCACAGGCTAGGCCTAGGCTGGAAATTGTATTAGTATTAGTAACAGAAAACTGAATGAAAATATGTATTGTTTTGTTAAGCCAAGAAAAGCAATAGAGATTATTTGTTTAACCATGACTAACAGAGATTTAAATTTTTACTTAAAGTGTTATGTAAATTTAGCTCTGCCGTAAACTCCCGAAAGACCAAGTCTATATTCCTTGAAAGGGTTAGGTTTGATAATATTCTGAAATACTGATTATTTTCAACTTTTAAGTAGGCCTGTGTAATTTTAAAGGGCTCCTGTACTGGACCGACAGCAGCGGACACATCATGCCTCCTGATCCTGACCTAGTTCGGAGCAAGACGAGGGCTTCGCCCCCGGACTAAACCAGGCCTAACCACAACCAACTCGCAGCGGAAGGACTTCACCCAGAAACATTCTACGAGAACTTTGGCCTTCTTCACCTCTACAAACCAGGTGCTATCTACTCCATGTTATCATTATTATTCCAACGTTTGCATTCAGCCTACCTTCAAGAACAGTTCATTTATATCAAGTTTTTCCCCAATTTAAAGTTTTACCGTTTCAATTTCTTAAACTCTGTAGCCTAGCAAATTGAGCTTAGTGTTTCCCTAACTAGGCCTACTTCTTATTTCTGGACTAAACTACAGACTAATAATCCCCTTGTGTTTTACTGTTTCAAATTAAATGTTTTTATTTCGCTATCGCTGCGAGTTGAGTTGTGGAACTGGAACTAACAAAAGTCAACAAGAATACATTATTTATATCACGGGTCTACGAGTTTTTTTAAAAAGCTACAAGAATTCATGTATTTAGTAGGGTGTCACATTTCCTTGTTATTTCATTATTTTGTGTATGTACCATGTTATGTTAGTAATAGGCTAAAAATTTCTGTTCTAACGGGGAAACTTTCGGCCCAATTGTTCTAAATTTCATTTCGGTTCACGCCAGTACTAAATTCTTCCCCACAATTTTTGCCCTTTTAAAAATTCTATTTCTTACTGTTTAAATTAAAATTCTATTCTGATGTTAGTGTATATTTGTGTATAATTGTCTTATGTTGCTATTTAAATATTTTCATGTCAATGTTGAGTGTAATTTTGAACTGTAAGGTTGTTCGAACGTTTTTCTTTAAACGCAACTTGTTATTGATATTTTGGTCAAATACTATTTTTAAATGATTTCATTGTAAGGTCATTTCAATTCAACGTCTGTTTTATGTAATATTTTCAATTTCTTGCCTTTTAAGATTCATATTTTTAAATTTATCATTGTCCTAAACCTTTTCCGAGTAGGCCTAACCTAACTTAAAGTAAGGATTTTCTTCTAGTTACCAGCTTGGTCCTTAAACTTAAACTTGAACTTCAACTTTTGGTAAAGTTTATATATACATAAATGTTTTAAATGTTTTGGTAAATGATTTAGGCCTAACACTGGTATTGATTTACATTCTAAGCCTTGTACCAATTTGTATATATTATTTCGCTGTTGTTTAAGGGCGCATATTTGTTAATATTTTTAATTGAGTTGGTAATAAAAGATGTTAATCACTTTTCAGTTGTATTTTTTGAACACCTGCAGATCTCTCATGAGCACAGAATCTTGGTAAAAGTTCCACGTACCATTTTGGGGTCTGGGAACTCAGTCATGTTTCAAGTGTTTGTCTGCAAACTCCTCCGGAACGACTTCACCGATCGTTATGAAATTTGGTGTGTAAATTCTGTAGGTATGCGAATAGAAAGTAAACTATTTCCCGTTTCGAAATTCTTAAAAGGGCTCCGCCCCAGTGGCTCTGGAGTTTCCCATGTTAACCTTATGAGAAATGGAATTAATGAATCTTAACAGCTGTTTCAATTAAACAAGTTGGTTCTGTTCTATGATGTTCAATAGCATTAAAGTTACAAGGATTACCAACAGGGTGCAGCACTATTATTTCTTTTACATTTATGACAACAGCTAATTTGCAACCAAAAGGTGAGTGAGCGTAGCGAACGAACTTCAACCTGGAGGCGAGTTAGCGTAGCGAACGAGCTAACCTGAAGGCAAGTGAGCGCAGCGATCGAGCTCCAACCTAAAGGTGAGTGAGCGTAGCGAACGAGCTCCAACCCAAAGGTGAGTGAGCGTAGCGAACGAACTTCAACCTGGAGGCGAGTTAGCGTAGCGAACGAGCTAACCTGAAGGCAAGTGAGCGCAGCGAACGAGCTCCAACCTAAAGGTGAGTGAGCGTAGCGAACGAGCTCCAACCCAAAGGTGAGTGAGCGTAGCGAACGAACTTCAACCAGGACGTGATTGAGCGATGCGAACGAGATCATCTTGAAAATTAAACTTAACGGTACTTTCTTTCCATCGGTCTGTCTTAGGGGAAACCTATAACTTTGGCGATACGAAGTTCGCCGGGTCAGCTAGTTTCTATGTAAAATATTTCAAAATGTAGCTAACTAACTTTGTTTTCTCTTTTCTGTTTAGTTTTTAGAAGGAATCTGAAGGTCTCTGATATTTCCAGGTCAGGGTTGGGTTATATGATTTGACACCTACAGCCGTGCATGAGGCCTATAGAGCCTAAAGGATTGGTTCCCCTGGAACTAGTTTTTGGGCAAACTCAGGTTGGGTCGAGCAAAGCTGAACTGAGATTTTATGTGATTGCATCTGCAAAGATACACAATCAAAAACTCAATGATTTTGCCGTGATTGTGTGTGATGTTTATGGTTTTGCCGCCTTCGTGACAGATGATGGCGTTCACGGTTTCACTGTGACTGGGGATTACATTCTCGATTTTCCTGTAGTTGAGGAAGATGTTCACAACAATCACAAATTTTTGTGTATCCGTGGTAGATGTTTGTGATTTCATTGCGATATGAGAGGGATCATGCAGGCTACAATATTGTGATTGAGCTGTTTGTAGCGTTACAACTAACATCAGGAAAACACAATACTTTCCAAAGAAACCTGATTTTAGCCTGAGACCCTTGGGCCAAAGTTTTTGATACAACCCAATCTAAAGTAAAACAGTATTGAATATTTAGAGGTTCACAATTCTTGATTCTTGATATCGCCATTGGAGTTGACAACATTTATCATTTGTTTGTAGGACCAAACAAACAGAAGTGGACTTGATGTGGCACATTTGGAAGGAATCTGACTCTGATCTTCAACCTATTGATGACCTCAAAAACATCAAAGGTAATCTGAAACTATTGTTTCATTTTAGTATTGATCTTGTTTATTTGCAGACATGATATTACTTTCAAACTATCATATTCAGATGAGATGAGCTACCAAGATATTACGGCTGTGAGCTCAATTACATTAACTGGTCCACAAGAGATAATTTTTAATTAGGTATTCTTTCCGTGGAAAATTGTTAACCTATATTTGCTTTCTAATATAGGCTATTGCACATTTTCTTTATGTAAGTGAATTGTCCTACAGGGTTGTGGGTGAAGGCCAGAGGAATATCTCCAAGGGTGACAGAACTGTGTGCAGCCCTAGAACGCAAGGTAAAAAAGTTGATTATTTTACGTAAAAGTACCTATTGTATTGTTATGCAATGTTACTAATATGGCGGCAAGAAAATCTCCTTTTACAAATACAAACCTAGTGTTTAACCTGTTGTGTTGTGATGACAGGTGTGTTGGCTGCTAGCAGACCTCAACTCTCTGTGTCCAGAGCAAGAGGTAGATCCTGGACTGTTGGCCATCAGTAACACTCTCAAGGTCCATCAACAGACTGTATGTTCTACACTTGTAGTCAAGTGAGTCATAATAGAGTATAGATATGAGAATAATAGCGCTTATAAACGGTTTTGCTTCTTGAGATGATTAACCAGTTTTTAAATCGCAACATATTGACAATACAGGTGAAATAGACACACAACAACAACAACAATTCTAAAAGCCCTGTCTTGTAAAGATCTTTGTACTTTAATATATCCTTTGTCTTTAGACTGGTCCAGTTTGTAAAGGATATGCTAGCTGAGACAACCAGTGAGGCAGTCGCCATCTTGTTGGCAAAGTTGCTACAGTGTGTTCCAGAGCTCTGTCCCTCTCTCAGTAAATGCCTTTCCTCCATCGACACTAAGGTATCAACTTTTATTTTTTTACGTCAGTTTGTTAGAAAAATTCTTAACAGTAATTTTGTAAGACAAGCTATGCTCTAGACATCAGTTTAACTTGTTTAAAAATAATTTAATACTGATCCTCCACAATTTTGGTTCACAATTTGATCCAATTCACCTAAAACTTGTCAGTTTAACAAAAGTTTGATTTTATAATCAAGATATGTCTATTTATGTGTATAACAATATGTCGGTTATTGTAACACTTACAATCAGTTGGTTGTTGCAGTCAGTGTCGTGGCAGGAGAGTTTATCTTTGCTACAGACTGAGTGTCTCTCAGCTTACAAGACTTGGCAGTCATTGGCTCTCCCTCGGCTGTTGAATCATACTATGGACACCCTATCGTCTGCTGTGCCTGACCTTCATACTATCCCTGTATGTTGACTATAGAATTGGGTAGTTAAAGTTTTAACGGATTTCCCCTTTCTTAATGTGGAATTGTTTTAAACAAATCTTAGGTATCCTATTTTTTTTTATTTGGTGGACAAAAGGCTTTGTTTACAAACAACTTTTACAATATGTGAAACATAGTTGCCTCCTTATTTCAAATTCAAGCCTACCTGGAAACGCTGTTAACTATATGTTGTGCAGCTGTTTAGGTGGTAAACTAAGTACAAAGATGCTTCAACACAATTCATCATCAACAAACTATAGTAATTGTCATGATTAAATCAAATCTTATTTTTAGTTGTTGCTATTTATTTATTTTTAACTGATAATATTGATTAAATTTATGCATACCGTATCCATTTGTTCTAATTTGTGTTCTACTCTGGTTTTAATGCCAGTATTGTGAATTATAAAGTGTAATATAAAAGATTTGTGTATTTGCAGCAATGGGAAGAGATCACGATAGAAGAAGAAGGAGAGACAGGAGAGAGGGTTCAGTCTGTACTGAAGGTGCCTTGTAGTGTGAGTCTGGGACTGCAGAGTGCTCTACATCAGCTGGCTTCTCTCATAGGACACGTCTCCATCCCCAAGTGAGTGTCTCTAGTTGTAACACCCAATATTAAGGTTATAAACTGAAAAACGGATGTAATTATTTTCTCTGATTTTTTACCAAGTTTGCCTGTTAGGCAAATTTTCTTAAATGGAAAAAACTATTATCGTATGTGGTACAGCAAGACCTAGGCCGGGGACCGATTTTCTTTTTGATTGATGTCCCTGGATTTGTTAATGTTTTTATAACTTTTTGATTAAATTTGGTGTGAACGTGTGGTTTGAGTTTGTGAACCAGCAAGATTGTGTCATGGTAGAGGGTGTAATGAGGGTTTCAAAACAAAAAAATGTTTTTTTATAATAAAACCAAAACAGAAAAATTTAACATTTATCATCACAATCACCATGTTGTGTTTAAAACACAACTATTTTTTTACGTTGAAGCATCGTATATGTAGAGTTAAAGGTTATGGAGAAATTATAAAAAAAAAACTGTAGGCCTACAAATAAAATTCCCATAAATGGAAAAAAAGTAAACTTTGTTGTTTCCTTGTTTATGGGCATATTGATCAAATTTGACAAATTTATTTATTCCCTACTATACTATTAACATTTTACCAAAAAAACACTATTTCCTTCCTAGTAGTAGCATCCCTAAGTACTCGTTAAATCTAATGTTATTTAAATAGAAAATAAATCTTACAAGTTTGAGGGAATATTTTAGGCAAATCCAATCAGATAAATGGAAATTGCTTAGTCTGCAGGTTTTCTGTGACGGGGTACTGTATTTTATTTTCCATTCCCACCGTAATGTGGCATCATCACTTACCTACTTAAAACTAACATTGATTGTTTTTTGCAGGCAAATCTCTGAACAAGTCGTTGAGTCAGTTATAAATAACATCATTGATCTGTACAACAAAAACAGTGAAAGTGCTAGTTTAACTCAAACCCAGTATCTTCAAATGCTTCTAGATATTAAGTATTTGACTCAGCTATTCAATCCAAACAAGGTAAGTCGTTTAATTTTTTCACTTTCTGTGTACTTATTGTGACAATACCGAGAACTGTGGCAGTGTTTTGTCAGAGATAAATCATTTTCCCATTGACTTTGATTAGCAAGCATGTGGATTTGGAACATAATAAGAAAAGCAAGAATATAAATGACATGCAGTGACAGCGCTGTTAAGATTCTATTTCAGTCCATCACAACATTCCATCATAGATAAAACATACACCTTGAGTAGAGTTGTCATCCTTATGGATCAGCTGATGGCAATTATTTTTAGTACCGTCCGGTACCACTAGGATCGTGTTATTTCTGTTATTTAAAACTTTGTTTAACCAAATAAAACTATCTAACCATAATCAATAACTTGTTCCCTAGTTATAAAACCAAATAGTAAAGCACAAATCATTAAATTAACCCTAAAATATAATTTTGTCAACACTAGCTCCCAGTGTCACCAACATGAACTAGACACAAACAACAAGCTTCAAATTTTACAATGGGATGAGGTCTACTTGTTTTGGTTAGTCAATGATTCCACTGACTTTGGATATCAGTTGTCTTTGTAATGTTAAATAAAATGCATTTAAATATTTTCCATCAATTTAAATTAATGTTCATATTGTTTCAGGAAATAAAAACTAAGTGCCAAGATATTTCTGGAAAACTGGAGTCAAAAATTGATCCGTTCGATCTAAATGTATTTACTCCATACATTAACAACAATGTTAAAACTGCTGTTCACCAAACCCAGGTATTTATCTATTTTTAACCGACTTCCCCACTACCAACAAAAGGAGGAGGTTCTCAATTTGTCTGTGGCGATGTTTTTTTTTTCTATGTATGTTCACCAATTTCTCTGTGATTCTCTTACCGATCAGTGTGGTTCCACCACCAAAATAACCAGGAGAGTTTCTATTTGGTACCTTATATATTATGTTTAAGTATAATATTTGTTTCGGTGAAAAATTCTGAAAACCTTAAATATTCAACATTCATTTTGTTTACATTTGTGCACATTGTTTACATTTGTGCAGAGAAGGCAATAAATAATAATAACATTCCTACAGCTGTTAGTTGAAACCATTTAAAAGACACAGACAATTTCTTCATGAAACAGTTGCTTCATATTGATCAATAAACTATTTCTTGCCATGAAGCCTAAATTAATTACATTGAGAAAAATGCATTTTGTTTTGGTTACTATAAAAAATGTATTTTAACGTTTGACCTGATTTGTGTATACAGTAATTATGTTTTTAGTATTGAATATTCTGACTTACAAAAACATACATTTTTCAGTGAATAGCTGTATGATGATGACAAATAAAGGTGTATTGTGAAAACCACAGCATTCGTAAAACAGGTATAAATATAAATCAAATGCAATTATTCCTTACACGACCTAAGAAGTGTGACAGTGCATAATCGTCAATTGTCTTAAAAGTGTTGAATATTTTAATTACTAAACATGCATTTGCAGATGTGGAATGTTTATTGATATTCTCTACCCAGTTTCTATAACATATCAATACTATTTTATGCCTGCTTCGGAAAGTCCTAGAGGAAGATGATTTGCAATTTCAACTAGGCTATATCTTGAGCAAACAAAACCCCCTACATGACTTACACCACTTTTAGCTGAACCAATCTTTCATATAATATTTTCCAAAGGTACTATACGAAAGGTTCTATGGTGTTAACGACCAATTTTCCACTTTTGAGAGATTTTTTAGTGCTGGTAGCTGAGGAATAACTTTATTTTGTTCCAAAAGGCTTGAGACGTTACTGTATTTCTTTTTATAATGTAGAAGTACACCGATTGCAAAGAAACGATGATGTCTGACATTTCAATGTATCTAGAAAAGACAATTAGTTTTTCATTAGGCCTAATGTAATGGACAACTCTTTCTTTCTTAATATCTAAATATGTTTATTTTCATACCCATTGATTATGTAACCTGAACAGGTGACTCAAGCAGTTTTAAAATAATGATTGTTCTGTGGAACGTTTGATTGTTTCAAACAGTTTTGCTTATCAAAAAACCTCAAGTAATTAATACCTGTAACGACCCAAAACCCGTCAAGGGGTAAAAACCCGATTTTTAAAAGATCCCGAACAGAGCCACCCCATCGACCCGCGGTTGCCACGGTCGCGCTGGTGGAGGTATCCCCAGCCAACCGTCGCAATGCCCCCGCCGATACGCCTCACACCCCGATTGCCACCGATTCCACTAGCCGGCCAGTGCCACAGGAGGTGCGCGACATCCTGTCCAATTTACCGTTGGAAGACACGGGGCGGCGAAGGAAAAACCAGAGGATGAAGGTGTTCAGGGGAGATGGAACGTTTTTCCGGGTCCGTACGAAGAAGCTGCGGACGATGGAGCACATATATTGAGGCGACGTGCCCATTTTAAGGAGAGTTTCGATTTCGTTATTTTCTTGCTCAAGAGTTTCGCAGCAGACGCCGACAATACCTTAGGTTTGGGTATTTTTTTTTTCTTTTTCCGTTTTTCTTTTTTTCTCTGCGAAGTAAGAAGGGGGTGTAACGACCCAAAACCCGTCAAGGGGTAAAAACCCGATTTTTAAAAGTTTCATTTTAAATATTATAATTTTCTACGTTCGGGGTAAGCCGCGCCCGCGTTGTCAGCGGCATCGTAGGGGCAAGGGTCCTACGTCATCGTAGAGGGGATGACGCTAGTTACCTACCCCGCCGCCAGGGGCGATGGCGAAGAAGGACCAGAAGAGCGGACCTCATGATCAGTCGTCCACCCGCTACCGAACCGTCAGTACGCTTGCTGTTTGGAGACAATCCAACAGTCTATAACCTCCTAAATTCTGGTCAATTAAAGATTTCCCCCGTTCCTGGTAGAATCATAAGTCATCAGGTTAGTGTGCTACCGAATTTATTTTGTTTAATCTCATTTTTAGAGAAGTTTTATTATTTTTATTTTACTGTGCCGCAGTCGCGCGCACTCCGCACGCTTTTTCACGTACGAGCACACTACCTTTTGTCTTAAACCAGCTTCGGAAATCAGTTAAGTTGCCAGAACGGTTTACGTACGACTTACCCCGTTACCCCGGACCGTCCTACGTAAATTTGGTTTAAAAACCCCGTATCGACTCTGGTGATCGACCGAGTCTAATTTTCCCGACAAGTTTACTTTGGTGATTACCAAGTATAACGACCGAATCACGTTTTAGTTTAGTTTCTAATTAATTAGGCTTATTCGCATTTCGATAGGTTATTCAAAATTCTAAATTTAACTTTACATATTTTTTTTGAGTGGCTATGATGAGCACTTGTTGAAGGTAAGCTTAACATTGTAAGCATTATTGTTGTAATTAATATTCTGAGCCAATAAACTCGAAACGATAATTAATTAACGAACACGTTAGAGTCCTGGACTATCTCATAGTAGGCTAAGCTATCTGGACAAATATAAGGTGTGACCTAATTTCTGGTGAGACGACAATCACGTACTATAAAATCTCAATTTTGTCTCTCAACCCGAAATTTCGTCATATCAAATGGCGCCCGAACAGGGACTATTGAATGTTAAATATATTTTTATGGCGCCCGAAGGCATAGTCGATAATTAATTGTTTTGGCTCAGAATTTAATAAATATTACACATACGAACATTACCTTAATAAGGGTTGTGTACGAGACGTTACAGTGGAATATTGGTTGTATACCGTAGAACTAGATACGATTAAACGTCAGTACTGTTGTTAAACGTACTACGTTTGTATGGTAAAATTATAGGATATTTATTGGAATTTAATTGACTTCGAACTTGACCGTTTATAATACACACCGTGTTTATTTGTACCAGTGTTTATACATTTCCTCTGATAATTGATTGTTATTCTTTTATAATTATTTAAGTAGGAAATAGTTAACACTGCTTTCGATTTAATTCATAATATTCTGTAAGAATTGTTCTGCTTCAAGAAGGCTAGTCGACCTGTTAGTTCACTAGTGTTGCGCTCGTATATTGTTCTCTGTATGAATGGGCAAGAGATAAGAGCGGCCCGATCAGCTGTTTGATAACGGTTTGTTATTGGATTTTCCCCGTAGTTCTTTCAATTCTAGTGAGCTTATTTCTGCATAATATTTACATCCGTTGCATTGCATAATATTTATAACGCAACTGAAACGCGTTAAATATTTGGGATCAGAACTGTTTTATAATAATATTGTTGGTTAACATATTGTTATACTTCTGGTTGTCCTAATATTTAACAGCATTTAGCATACCCCAGTTTTATTGTATTGTAATACATTTAATATTGTTACACACAGGGAATAACATTGTTTAATATAATAATACAGGATTATTATATTTTGGATTGAGCCTAATTACGACGGTTTACGTACACGTTAGTGATATAATAATATTGTTGGTTAACATATTATTGTATTGCTCAGTAACAATTAGTTCACAACGATCATTAGGCCAACGTATTATCGGAACTTTGTTTACTTTTTGCGATTGTAAACATTGATTGTTGGGGTATTGTATCAGTGGTTTAAATATTATACTGAACATTTACGATTAGCGACGAGCCTTACGACAGTTACACAGTCTTTTACGTATTTTTTCGACAACAACCATTATCGTCGACTGTTGTATTTCCTAGTAATAATTTAAAAATGACACCTTGGGAATTATTTTTGCGCCTTTGGACTTATCTTTTCCCAGTTATGTATATGCTGACTCCAGATGAATCGGGGAAAAGGCCCCCGCGCAAAAACAATGACCCACCGCCAACTGCTACCGCTCCCGCCGTCACAACCGCTCCCGCTGTTACTGCCACTGCCGTTACCACTCGTGGGTCTACGGAATCGATCGTGCCGCGCACACCGTTTGACGAACCGCGCGTCGGGTGGATTTATAGACTGAGCAAAGAGGAGCTGCAGAATGAGATGAGTAAATACGGCCTTTCTACGGCAGGTACGGCAGATGAACTTAGGAAGAGTTTTGTGGATTTTTGGCGATCGCCATTATCCGCAATTACCCGTACCGGACCCTACCGGACCGTTGACCCTCCACGCACTCTTAATATCCCGCCGGCGAATTACGGGTCGGAATACGCGTCTAAGGACAAGCTAGGCTTGCATCCCGCCCTAGACGAACGTGACAGTGTACGGGAGATACTTGGGTTGTCACCGAATGCGGACTCTACGCTAGTGAGACGGGTCCTAGCCTCAATGGTGAATACCTTGAGGTCAAACGACGCGACTCCCACGGGACACTACGCGACCGACACGGTTCCCGCTCACGCCGCACCCCCTACCACGAATTATGCCGATCTGTGCTACGGTGCGGTACCACGTCCTAACGCCTCGGCAACTCGCGAGTTGCGAGATGCCGATCCATCGAGCCACGCTGGCCCCTCAGGCCGCCAATCGCTAGACGGAGCCTCCATTTACAACGTCGTTCGTAAGTGGAACCTTCGTTTTGACGGTCGCAAAGACCCGGTATCGTTCCTGGAACGCTTGGAGGAGCTAATGGAGGCGTATTCCTTAGCCCCAGACCAGGTCTTCAGGGCTCTGCCGGAACTGTTGACTAGTAACGCCTTGTTATGGTACCGCAATAACCGGGAAGCGTGGGCCGATTTCCAGGATTTTCGTAGCCATTTCAAAATCCAATATCTACCTCTCGGTTATCGCCGTAACTTGGACGAAGAGATTCGTAAGCGGACACAGGGTGACCAAGAGCCGTTTAGAGATTTTGTAGTCGCGTT